TTTATCAGGGTATTTGTGTCGATATATATCGCACATGTTATTGCCCTCAATATATTGTCTAAGAGCTATACTGCTTGCTTTATTTGTAGTCATGCCTTTACTTCGGTCCATAAATGGGTCTAAGACCCCATTTAAATCACCACCTATGATACAATTATCTGTTGTAAATAAATCTAATGTCTTTAAAAACTTAATTCTTTCTAAATAATCATTTGGTGCATAAACAGATATTACAGATATCATTTTATCCTCTATTTCTAGGTCTACTTTAACAATGCGACCCTCTTCGTCTGCTGACGATTTTATTATACTATTTTTAAGAGTATAGCTACCCCCTTTCTTCTATTGTTTCCTGAAAAACTGCAATATATAATCCCATCCCGCAAATGCACAATAGACCCGAGAAAGTCTTTATCCCAAAACGTTTCCTGAAGACAAATAATATTTGAATTTGATTCCTGCAATAAAGAGAATATTTTATTTATTTTTTTAAAGTCTCTTAAACCGTTTACGTTCCATGTTGTTATTAGCAAGGCCATTATGAATAGTATAAGAGATAAAAGTAGTTAAATTAATGTTTCTTGTCCGCATTGAGTTGTATTCACTGCCGATATAACCGAGTAGTCATTCACATCAATATCAGAGATTTTCGTTCCGTTGTTTTCATATCTAGTGGATTCGGTCGGGGTTATAAAATCACACACATCCATTGTCTCGTTATTATTCGTAGCATTCTCTTGTTTGTCATATTTTGTTCGTTTCGGCACTGGTTTAGGGGGAGACTCATCTACACTCGCGTTGTGAGCCTGTTCATCACTTGCTAGATGGTCGTCATCACGGACATTTGTTTCATCACATTTTCCCGCGTTCTTTGTTTGCTCTGTTTCTATAGACTGAGTAAAGTTGACATTTAAGTCGATATCTTTAGGCTTTGTGTTTTCACTCGACATATGTTGTTCATGATCAAATTCTTCTTCTTCCATATAGCACTGACACTTATTTGAAACATTATTACAGGTATCACAAAAGGATTCAGGACATCCGTACGCCATGTGACCAAAATGACCACACTTATTACACCTAATTTTGGGGCACCTAAAAATTAAATGGTGTGGGGAAAAACATTTAAAAGAGACCTTACTCTGGTTATTGTGCAGAACCTTAAAGCTTCTAATTCCTTCGTCTGTGTCGAAATTCATCGCCCACGGTAAGGATGTAATGTGGGGTGGAAACTTGCATTTCACATGCCTGGTCCCGTTCGCACAAGTTTTAAACTTGTCATAGAAGTGACGGATAACTGGACCAGCTATTTCTACCCCATGTGATTCTAGTTTCTATAGTATAATTTCATCTTCGACGTGAATCGGTATATTCATAAACGAAACAACGGTATATGGAGAATATAACATTTCGCATTTATAGTTTTTTCCACTAACACTAATTCCTTGACACATACCAATTGCATTATCGACTGTATTTAAAGTTATTTCAATTATATTTGGCTGTCTAGGGACACAACCAATACAACTCCCATCTCCATATTTATCTTCAACTGCTTGAATAACATCATCAATACATACATTTTTCAGACTGATAACATTTACCTTCAGGGTCCTTTCTTTTATATTCTTCCAAGTATCCATGTTGTGAGGGCCCAGGCATTTAGGGAAAAATTCCACTGACCACACACTTAAATATCCAGTTCACATTCCAGTATTGTAGAATTTTATATCCAAAAAAGCGAGGGAAAAAGCGAGGGAAAAAAACAATCACAAAGTCTTATAAACGAGGTCAGTTCCGCTTGACCGCACTTCGGGAGCACATTTCTGCAATAAGACTATTAATAATGTGACATCCAAAAATTTTAATTTGCTTTTTCATATACTATACAACTGATGGCCACAGCCCCCCCCCTCCCTATGTATTGCACTGTTCGTGTTCATTCCTCAGTTTGAGATGCTAATGAAACAAATCAGGTCAGCTCAAATAGCGGTCTAATAAGCTATTATGATACGTTGAAGTACCATGGACTATTCGGTAAATATAATAATATACAGAAAAGGCTCGATCTCCACCACGTTTCAGTTGTGAGCGTTTCTGCAAGTAGATTGAGCGAAGTTGATCGAAGATTTCGATTTGGATTTAATTTTGTAATCATCTCTTTGATATAGCCTGGTGCTTGATTATAGAGTACCTGGTATGCCAACACATTAATTTTGAACATGATCCGATATTTAACGGGCAACCAATGCAAGCTCCTTAGAAAGTGGAGTCACGTGGTCATATTTCGTCTTTCTCTGTACTATTCAACATTATATGGGATCATGTTTAAACCAATTAGACGGCCACGGAGTAACTTGTTTCAGTGGTATTTAGTAATTGAACTGGAAAAACACAGGTCACAATTCTATGGAAGACAATAAGTGCTTATTACTGAGTGACGTTGCAACTAGGCTTCTCTAGCCAATATCAAGCAATGATGCTACATGTATACTACTGAGCGACGTAGAATTATATTGCAGAGAATTGTTACCTGCATAGGTCACTGAATCATCAGCATTGCTAACCTGGCATCCAGGGGTGTGGCCAATAAATTAACTTGCCTTGTCGTTTCCTATCCAACCCAGGAATTGCATTTTAATGGGGCAACTCTAAATCAATTAAGTGATCGATGAGTAATCAGTAAATCGAATGTGACTGTTAATTCCATAAAATGTCTATACATTTTGCACAATTCAATATTTATGGAGGTAAAGGTATCTATCCACAAAGGCAATCAATCAACCCATGGATATATAAAGGGTTCTTTAAGCATGGTTACAACCGTGTGTACAAAATTGTTGCAATTGTACGAGATAATACTATGATAATACGGAGGCTCAGTGAGTACGATGTTGGCTCGATAACATGGAGGGACCGTGTTCAATCCCTGCGTTCACCTAGAAAATCCATATGGATTTTCCGTCGTGGTTCCAACTTGTCAGTGATGCAGGCCAGAGGACCTGGCAAGGGACAACATATAGTCATTAGGAAGGTACGAAACACCGAGACCCCATGTACACTTTGGCGTGCACGTAAAAGATCCCTTGACAGTTGGAATTCGATATAAGAGTAGGCGGTAGCGCCGCTATCCGGGCATAATTTCCGAAAATCAAAAAGGGGGTGATCAAGTGCTTGCATATTATGTATACTATTCAAAAAAAGTAGGGGATATTTGATTTTGGGGGCATAATACTAAAATATGCAAATGACTACGAAAAAAGTCACTATAGAACCTAACAGAAGAAACATTTCCAGTTACATGTGACGCCCAAATGCACCAATAGCTACCGCATGGAATGCAGGTGATGCTTGGGATCATCATGGGGGTCCAACCCAAGATTTGCACGACTCTGACTTTGAATGTTACAGTCATTGTGGCATTGAATTCCAGGGTGGAAACATCAGTTTAATTGTTTTAGTGACCAGAAAACAAATTTTGATATGCGTCGGCTTACCCAAAATGAAAGGTTACGTGCCCTTGGCATGCTACAGATCGGCACAACACAGGCGGTTGTGGCGCGGACGATGAATGTTTCTTAGTCTGTCATAAGCAGGCTATGGTCCATATACCGTGATACACAATCTGTACAGGACAGACCACGCTCAGGTCGACCAAGGGCGACAACTCAAACCCAGGATCGATTTATCCGTACCTTGGCCTTGAGAAATCGTGTCATCACAGCAAATCAGATCAGCGCTCGTCTTCAAACAGACACTGGTGTGAGAGTGAGTGGCCAGACGATTCGGAATCGACTGCATAGGGGTCACCTTCGCGCCCGACGTCCTCGCGTGATCCATGGTTTGAGAGATCATCACATTCAGGCAAGACGTCGTTGGTGTAGGGATCGTCAACACTGGGATAATCGACGCTGGAGCAATGTGATGTTTTCAGATGAGTCAAGGTTCACTGTTGATTTTTTGGACAGACGTAGGAGGGTGTGGCGTCGTCGAAACGAGCGCTTCCAAGACGTTAACGTCATCAGACATGATCGATTTGGGGGTGGTTCTGTTATGGTGTGGGGAGGCATCACTGTTGCTGGAAGAACGGCTTTACATGTTGTTGCAGGGCGTGTTACAGGCCAGTACTACCGGGACAACATCTTGGCAGTCCATGTTGTGCCGTTCGCACGACGTCATGGCCGCCGTTTCATCTTCCAGGATGACAACGCAAGATGTCACAGGGCCAGGATCGTTACAGGTTACCTCCAACAACAGAAAATCACCACATTACCTTGGCCAGCACTGACTCCCGACCTCTCCCCCATCGAGCATGTCTGGGACATGCTTGGACAGAGGTTACGTCAACGTCAACAACGTCCTGCCAATGTCCAAGAACTTGCTGCTGCGTTGCAACAGGAATGGGACAATCTGGACCAAAATGACCTTAGACGTCTCATTAGGAGTATGCCACGTCGGATCAATGCTTGTTGGGCAAACAGAGGAGGATTTACCCGTTACTGACTTGGTTGTGATGCTGTGGTAACTTTGCTGTTTGACCCCGGGTATCATTTTACCCTTATAATGGTCAGTCTGTGCCTTACTTAGTCTAACGATCATTTGGAATAAATCGATGAATGTGAACTTCATTTCATTTTGTCATTTGTTTCTTCGTCAGTTTCATTAGGTGACTTTAATAACACTTAAAAATCAAATATCCTCTACTTTTTTTGAATAGTATAGAATTTCATTAATTATCTAATGCTTTGATTGGTCAAAAACTCGTAATGTATGTGTTGTTCGAAGATGGAGACTAAAACGATCCTACATGACCCCAAAACCCCACAATGTAACGACGTGAACCTAGTGTATACAACCCTTTGTATTTTGTGTCGTGTATTATGACTAAGTAAAACTGTTGTTGACTATTGATACAGTTATATGTATGAACCCCGAGTTCCTGAATTTAGTAAGCATCCAACGCGTTTAGACATAACGTTACAAAATTAAAACAAGACGAATATTATTTTAATGTCTTATTTTCCAATCAAATCCGTATGAATTGGCCTCCATCCATCATGTAAGGTTTGCTTCAATGATGCGACAATGCTGACTTTGTCGTGGTGATCGGCCAGGTTTACATTCTCCTGGTAGTCATTTTCGTGATCATACAGTTCTCGGCCTACTACATGTCCATCAGCCATATCTGAATTATAATTCGTTCTTTCAGATAACCGAACCCATTCAGTATAGCGATACCTATCCGTTTTCACTGAATATCCCATTACATTACCAGGCCGTTCGTATTGTGAAAAGACAGCCGATTTCCACTGTGCATCAGGATCTGTCATCAGAGGGACCATACTTTTCCCTTCTGTACAAAGATAAACCTGTGATGATCTTTCTGGACATTGATGAAGTTGTGGAAAACCAGCGGCCTCTACGATTGTGGGAAACAGATCAACGAATTCTACTAATTTATATGTGATGGCCCCATGATCTGTTAAACCAGGCACTCGAATCATCATTGGCGCATGTACAGCATCTTCAAAATTAGTATTTTTAGCCCACAGCCCGTGCTCACCTAAAGAAAATCCGTGATCGCCAATAAATGATATGATTGTATCGTCCATTAAATTTAGTTTCTCTACTTCCGCTAAAACTTCGCCCACCATAGCATCAACAAACGTGACAGAACTGAAGTATGCTCGTCTTAAATCTTTGACTATTTGATCAGGCAAGGTCGTGTTAAGATTTCCAGTGACGTTCAAAGCCCCGATATCATGGTAACTTCTAAGCTCCTCGTACTTACTCCAAGCGATTGCCGGCATATCAATAGGGGCGTAATCATTACCAGGAATCTGAATTTGAGTTGTAGGATAATCTGCTAAGTATTCTTCTGGGAAGACAAATGGCAAGTGGGGCCTGCGGAACCCAATGGCCAAGAAGAATGGGTGTCTTCCGCTGGCGAGATTGTGTAGCGATTTCTTAGCTTGAGCTACGACCAGTTCATCAATTAATGGATCTTTCAGTCGCTCGGCTTTTGAAACAGCCCTCCAACTTACACTCAAATCCGGATCTTCCTCTAGGTAGTAAAATTTATTCCAGGACGGAGGATCTTCATTGTTGGACGCCACGACACCTGGGTGAAAAATTTTACCCATACCCACACTTCTGTATCCATGACTTTTAAAAAACTGAGGTATGGTTGTAAAGTTGCCTCCGACATCTCGGAAATAATGCTTCAGATCGTAAACGCGGGTTGTATCGGGTCTGCGTCCTGTCAGAAAAGAAGTCCTACTCGGTGAACAAAGGGCGCATTGTACATAAGCTCTTTTCATCAACAAACTCTTATCTGCTAGATCGTCGAGATTTGGTGTGTATGACGGTCCAAGATTGAATTCCTTATAAGCATCGAGCTGTGGTCTAAAATCATCGGATATTATAAACAAAACATTTTTCTTCGCCCCTTCCACAGGTAGGAACAAAATAACAATAATTGCACAGAACAGCATAATGATTGCATGTCGCTATCCTGAGTTGTGACCATATTTATATACGGAATATGTGCTATCACAGGACCGAAAGTGTACCATAATTATTGATAAGATATTCTTCTATCAACACCTGACTCTTCAGTCGGTCCACTTCTGTACCATTCTGATTTAAAGCAAAGATCCTATTTGCGATACAATTTTATCAACTAGCGGATGACCCGGCGCTGCACGGGCTTCAAGTAGTATAACTCTGAAACGGGAAGCGGTAGGCCAACGCCACCTAGTCTATATTACTCCCCAGAGAGCAACACCTATGCACCATATTTCAGTCTGGGAACAACTCTAGTGTAGCCGCCAATCCTGAACCGACAAACGACAGTTGCGAATAACAGTATAGAGACATAGATGTATCGCACATGCATTAAAGTCCGGATGCGCTATTTAGGCACCACATGAATCAGTTGCCAACTACCATATTGTGAAAATATGAATCTCTTAAAAGGAATATCGGTCTAAAATTAGTCCAATTCCGTTCATTATTTACAAAGATTTGTGGAATTGAAATTCCATCGATCTATGCTGCTTCACTGTGAAATAAGCCGATCACCATTTTATTGTGTGCGACAATATTTTAGAAGGCTTTATTTAAAAAAAAAACCCAAAAAAACCCCGTTTGAATCGAAGCCCGGGCATTATGTAGGGTTTCTATTTTGATTTCTTAATTAAATATTAAATAATTACCGTGGATTAAGCCGTGAGAAATTTGATGTTTAGCGAAGAATGCAAATGGCGCATCGAAACTTAATTTAATTAGCGAGATTTGCAATTTGAACCATAAACCATTTTCTCAACGAAATAGAGGGATAATAAGCAATCGACATTATGTACCATTAAACAAATCCGATCAGGCACAGACAACAGGACAAAATATGAGCGCCTGTACGATTTCATATCGTATTTTACCAAGCCGTGGAGTGGCATCCAGGCATACGTCACAGACGCATGGAAATCTTTTTTTTTTAAAAAACAACCCAGTAAGTACTATCTCAAGAGAAGTACGTTGATGTTCGTAAGCGAGATTTACGGGATTCTGATGGGAAGGGGGTCAAAGTCCACCACTCTACATTTCTTCAACCACATGTTTGGTTTCAGATGCCTATCCATGTTTAAATACTCTTCAAAAAAAAAAGTAGGGGATATTCAGAACACAAAATGCACTGCGGAAATGCACTGCTGTTTTTATTAGAGGTAACCAGTGTATGTTAATAACAGGCCAATTGCCTACACATGAACATAAACAAACAGTTCATATGGGCGTTTTTGATTTTTGTCTTAATGAGTAATCGCTCCACCAATCCTCAAACATTCAGCAGTTCGTCGTGGCATGCTCCTAATCAACCGTCCAATCACGATTTGGGGCAATCTGACCCACTCCTCTTGCAGTGCCACGGCCAATTCTTGCAGTGTTGTCGGTTGACGTCGACGAACACGTCTCCCGATCATGTCCCAGACATGCTGTATAGGGGAAAGGTCAGGACTCATATGGCTGGCCAAGGCATATGGACAATATGGTGACGCTGGGGTAGTCATTCACGACACGAGCGCCGTGGCCACGGGCATTATCATCTTGAAAGAAGAAACGTCGACCTGCACCTTTAGCAAAGGGCCGAACTATCGGTGCCATGATGTGGTCACGGTAGTACACACCAGTGACCCTTCCTTGAACAATAGGCAAGTCCGTTCTGCCAGTCATGGTTATTCCTCCCCACACCCTAACAGACCCACGCCCGAATCTGTCACGCTGTCTGACGTTAACGTTAGCATGACGCTCATTTACACGCCTCCAAACGAGAGCACGCCTATCGGTGAAATCCAGAGTAAATCTGGACATATCTGAGAACATTACACGCGCCCATCGACGATTATCCCAATTTCTACGCTGCCTACACCATTGACGCCTGTTTGCCATATAAAAAAATGTTTTAGAATTTAATTTGTCGGAGGAAAAAAGTTAATAGTTGTGGCTCATTAAGTCGCATCGATGTCATCCTTATCAGTGATTGTCGCGGCCTAGCGAATATTCACTGCTGATCAGTGTGGCAAATGGGCTGCATGTAGCCGATTTCTAATCGTTTGGGGCGTAACTCGAATTCCTGTAACTTGGTACAAGTTTACAGAAAGCTGATTGGCCGTTTGTTCTCGATTTCGCAGGACCTGTGTACGAATGTATCGATCCTGGCCTTGTGTAGTCGCTCTAGGACGACCTGAACGAGGTCTATCATCAACATTGTGTGTTTGTTGGTACCAGTTCCACAGTCTGTGGATCACATTAAGCATGTTGCCATGGCTACTGCTCGCTGTGTAGAACCCATTTGAAGAATGTCAATAGCCCGTAGACGTTCATCATGTTAAAGACGTCTCATTGCAAATTAAACGTAACTCACTAAAGCAAAGATACGCTAAACAGTAAATCTTATGCAAGAACCGATAGGGAAGCAAACATGGATAGGATAAACCAGCGCGCGGCAGTTTTCATCAACCCTTCCTTGAAGTGTCAAATTGACAGTGAACCCCTCCCACGTGTATGGTGCTATTGCTTGTCGCACGTGCAGCTCAGTGGTTCTGTTGGGGCGATAAGTTCTTCATCTGTGAACATACTCTCAAAGCATGTCAAGTGTCCATGACTATTTATCATATCGCAACCTGCATAGGTTTTTGCATTTCAATTTCCCTTACGTTTTTTGAAGAGTATATTTAAAAAGTAAAGGAATAGGATTTAAACATTTTATTTCCCAATCAAGTCCGTATGAAAATGAGTGGGTCTCCATCCAGCATGCAAAGTTTGTCGCAATGTTGCCACGATGCTAACTTTGTCGTGGTGATCGGCCAGATTTATATTCTCCTGGTAGTCATTGATGTGATCATACAGTTCTCTACCTATCACTTGAGATATATCTGCCTTATAGTTTGGGGCTCCTGAAAAACGAACTCATTCAGTATAGCGGTATTTATCCGTTTTTATCGAATATCCCATTACATCGCTGCGCCGTCTATATTGTGAAAAGACTGCCTGTTTCCACAGCGCACCAGGATCTGACAAGAGAGAGATCAAACTTTTCCCTTCCGTACAAAGAGAAACTTGTGTCGATCTTTCCGGACACAAAGGGAGTTTAGAAAACCCAGCTGCTTCTACGATTGTGGGAAACAGATCAACGAATTCTACTAATTTATTTGTGACGGCCCCATGATCTGTTAAACCAGGAACGCGGACCATCATTGGCGCATGTACAGCATCTTCAAAGTTAGTATTTTTACCCCACAGCCCGTGTTCACCTAAAGAATATCCATGATCACCTATAAAGGCTATGACTGTGTCATTCATCAAATTGAGTTTCTTTAATTCCGCTAACACTTCTCCCACCATAGCATCCATAAACGTGACAGAACTGAAGTAGGCTCTTCTTAAATCTTTGACGAATTGATCAGGTATGGTTGTATTTAGATTTCCAGTGACATTTAAAGCTGCGATATCATTATAACTTCTGAGTTCCATATATTTATTCCATGCGATTTCTGGCATATCAATAGGTGCGTAATCATTACCAGGAATCTGAATTTGAGTTGTAGGATAATCTGCTAAGTATTCTTCTGGGAAGAGAAATGGTAAGTGGGGCCTCCGGAACCCAACGGCTAAGAAGAATGGTTGTTTGCCTTTCACGAATTCATTTAGAGATTTCTTAGCCTGAGCTACGACCAGTTCATCAACTAGTGGATCTTTGAGTCGCTCTGCTTTAGAAACAGCTCTCCAACTCGATCTGTGTGCTTTCACTCCATAGTCTTCCTCCAGGTGATAAAATTCATTCCATGAAACAGGATCGTCATTGTGAGACGCATGCATACCTGGGTGAAAATTTTTACCCATACCTACACTTCTGTAACCATTATTTTTAAAATATTGAGGCATGGTTGTAAAGTTACCTCCGACATCTCGGAAATAATGCCTCAGGTCGTAAACGTGGGTTGTATCAGGCCTGCGTCCAGTTAGAAAAGAAGTCCTACTCGGTGAACAAAGGGCGCATTGAACATAGGCTCTTTTCATCAACAAACTTTTACCTGCTAGATCGTCGAGATTTGGTGTGTATGACGGTCCAAGATCTAATTCCTTATAATTGTCCAGTTGTGGTCTTATATCTTCAGATATTATAAATAAAACATTCTTCTTCGTCCCATCCGTTACTACGAATAAAACAAACAAAATTGTACAGAGCAGATCGTGCATGCTGACTTCTGTTGTATGATCAAGGACTATATATATACTATTCAAAAAAAGTAGGGGATATTTGATTTTGGGGGCATAATACTAAAATATGAAAATGACTACGAAAAAAGTCACTATAGAACCTAACAGAAGAAACATTTCCAGTTACATGTGACTCCCAAACGCACCAATAGCTACCGCATGGAATGCAGGTGATGCTTGGGATCATCATGGGGGTCCAACCCAAGATTTGCACGACTTTGAATGTTACAGTCATTGTGGCATTGAATTCCAGGGTGGAAACATCAGTTTAATTGTTTTAGTGACCAGAAAACAAATTTTGATATGCGTCGGCTTACCCAAAATGAAAGGTTACGTGCCCTTGGCATGCTACAGATCGGCACAACACAGGCGGTTGTGGCGCGGACGATGAATGTTTCTCAGTCTGTCATAAGCAGGTTATGGTCCAGATACCGTGATACACAATCTGTACAGGACAGATCACGCTCAGGTCGACCAAGGGCGAAAACTCAAGCCCAGGATCGATTTATCCGTACCTTGGCCTTGAGAAATCGTGTCATCACAGCAAATCAGATCAGCGCTCGTCTTCAAACAGACACTGGTGTGAGAGTGAGTGGCCAGACGATTCGGAATCGACTGCATAGGGGTCACCTTCGCGCCCGACGTCCTCGCGTGATCCCTTGTTTGAGAGATCATCACATTCAGGCAAGACGTCGTTGGTGTAGGGATCGTCAACA